GAATTTGATCTTGTCGTTGTGCTATTTGTTTCATCTTGGAACGTGTAACAACAGCACCAACAATTTGAAAATTGTTTTCAGGAACATGCACCATTTCTGGTGGTTCCCCTTGAAATAACATGTTTATGCCATAATCTTCATCAAATATTTCTTCATCATTTTGTATTGGATGACGAGATAAATAATCAGCTAAACAGTTGTGTTGACCTTTAATATGAATAATTTTTTCAATATTATATTCTTGCAATAAAATAGAAATTCGATGTACTCGTCGATTTTTTACCGATGAATTCATCATTTTGCATAAGGGACAATGATCAGTATAAATTATAATAGATCTTCCAAGTAAATAAGATCGCATTCGTTGAAAACATAACCATATAGCTAATGCTTCTAATTCAATAGGATCATATCGTTGTTGAGTAGGAGATGTAACTTGAGAATGATAATATAAATTTTTAATTTCACCATCAATATTTTGTTGTAATGTACCACGTATACCCACTTTCGATGCATCGGTTGTCAGTATAAGTGGATAATTATCATTTGGAAAATTAAGAAATAATGGGGATTTAATTAATAATTCTTTTAATTGTAAAAATGCTTGTTGTTGTGCATCACCCCAAACAAATTGTCTTCGATTTGGTTTGGTCAAATTTGTTACTCGATGGATGGGTGCTGCAACTGTAGCGAATTGAGGAATAAATTTTCGGTACCATGAAATAGAACCCAGGAACTTATTTGCTTCTGCTAATTTAGAAGGTTCCCTCAATTTAATAATTGCTTGAATTTTTTCATTATTAGGTTTAACACCAAATTCAGATATCGTATGAGATAGATAATCAATATGTTGATGAAAAATATTACATTTGACCGGATTAAGTTGAAAATTATGTTTTGATAAAGCAGCTAATACTTGTGCAAGATGATTGAGATGTTCTTCAAATGAACGAGAATATACCACGATATCATCAATATAAACCAACGAGAATTTCCGACATGGTGATAATATATCAGTCATTACTCGTTGAAAAGATGGTGGACTATTCTTAAGACCTTGAGCCAGCACATTCCATTCGAAGAGACCGTCTGGAGTAATAAATGCAGTTTTAAATTTGTCTTCTTCTTTAATTGGAAGTTGCCAAAATCCACTCTTCATATCAAGTTTAGAAAAAAAATTATAGCCACCACCTAATAATTGTATTGCTTGTTCCATATTAGGTAATGGATGATTATCTTTAATAGTAATATTATTTAATTTCTTATAATCAACTACCATTCTCCATGTACCATCTTGCTTAGCTACCAGTAATGCTGGTGCTGCATATGGAGAATCAGATGGACGAATTAATCCAAAATGCAATAATTCTTGTACTATTTTATACATTTCTTCTTGTTTACTTGGAGTAGAAAAATATGGTTTAGATACTGGTGGAGGATGGTCAAGCGTTTTAATAGCATGAGATGTTACATTACTAGCAACTGTTAATTTACTTGTGTCAAATAATTTTGCATATTGATTAAGAAGAGTTTTTACCCTATCTTGTTGTTCAGGATTATCAATATGTCGAATTAAATTATTAATGTTCTTATGTACGATTTGATGATCAGTAGTTGAATTTCTTTTAAAAGACAATGTGGGAATAGTTGTTGTTCCCAAAATAATTCCTCTTGGTAAAGAATATGAGTAAGTTGTTGGATTATGAAGTGAAATAAATGATGTATGATGATGAATAGTTAATGCAGAATTTAACATAACGACAGGTGATCGTTGTTGTAATTTAAAAGATGGACGAAATAATACTTGAGCTGACGATAATTCTACCGATACAGGAACTGTTACTGTTTGCTTTGGTAGAACCCGAACATTATTAATTAAACGTGCAGGATATCTTATATCGTTTTTATTAATAGCAAATTTCAATGTTGTTCGTTTATAATCATCACTAATTGAAACTATTTGTTCTTCTGTATTAATAATTAATTTATATTTATTAATGAAATCCATGCCTAAAATACAATCAGCACATAATTCTTTAACAACAAATGCTTTAATAGAATTTAACATATCACCCATTGTAATAGATAGAGTCATTGTACCAAAAACAGAAAGAGATGTATGACCATCAGCTAAAATTATACGACTATGTGATTTATTAACAAGGTGCTTACCATAAGATGGATCTAATGCTTTAATTGAAATAAAAGATCGATTTGCACCTGTATCAATCATCACCTTCATTTTTTTATTATTTACAATAACATTAAGATATAGTAGAGATGTATTTGGTGTCGATGGATTGTTATATAAAGTATTGGAAGCAACACCACCGATCATTGCCTCCTTTACCCGAAATGGGTACGGGTACAATCCAGAACATAATGTCCAGAAGTACCACACTTATAACAGCAATTTGATCGTTCTGCATATTGTGAATATCTTGAAGGTTCATAACATTGATTTTGCTTAAACGAAGTTTGTGTAGTACGTGGATAATTTGGACGTGACAGTGATTGTGCGTGTGAAGGTATATTTCGTCGAATATTGTTACTTGATTTTTGTGAAGTAGTTGTTCGTTCTAACGACTTTTGAGCTGTAGTAACATTGATGGTAATCTCATCCTGGTGCACGGCATTGTTTGTACTGGTAAATGATAATGTATCTTCAATTTTTCTAGCAAGTAATAAAAATGAGTCAGTTGTTTTTGGATCTTGTAATGCAACATGTAATTTTAATGATTCTCTTATGCCGGCCATTAAATATTTTAATTTTAATGAATCAGGCATAGCTGGATCAACTTTCTTACATAGTTCAATAATTTTATCATAATATTGCATAATAGATTGATTAACCGTTTGTTTGTACCATTTTAATTGTTCAAATGCTAATTCTTGTACTTTTGTTGATCCAAAAGCTTTTATAACGGCTTCAGTGAATGATGACCATGATTTAATCGTCGTAGATGCTTGTGACCACCATCGATATGCATCATCTTGTAAATGGATTGAAATATATTGTAATTTTTCTTCGTCATTCCATTTTGCCATTTTAAAACGTTGTTCTAATTTATCTAACCAATCATAAACATCGTCTTTTGAGCCACGAAAATATGTTGGTTTTTTAATAATTTCATCAGCAATTGTTTGCTATAAATGTGATGTAGGTAAAATTTTTGGAGCAATAATTGACGCTGCAACCATTTCTACAGGAGTATTATTTTGTGCTGTTGATGATGTAGATGAGTATTGTTGAAGAAGTAATTTACTAAATAATTCGAAACTGGTGATTAAATCAATATGTTCTACGTACCACAAATAAGCTTCATCAATTAATAAAAATGGTATAGCTTGAACTTGTTCAAGACGACGTAATCCATATTGTATAAATTGATTCATTGTTTGTAATAACCAAGTCTTGGCATCATCTTTACCAGAATATTTAGTAAATTTTGTATCAATAAAATTTTCCATCGATGTTATTTCATTAATATCGGATAATGGATAATTCATTGATGGAAGATGAATTTGTGTCTTCTGACGATCTTGAATATGTTGTTTTAAGCGATTGCAAAAACATGACCAATCATTATTAATTTCAGATTTTATCTGTTCATACCATAATTTTTGTTCATTATTAAAATATGTAACTGCTTGAAATACACGATGCGATGATGGATATTCCCAATCTTCATATGTTTGATGTAACACAGATAACCATTGATCAATATGAATCATTTCTTCTTCAGTTAATTTCTTAATAGATTGTAGAGCCACCTTTTCTTGCTCTCTTAATAATTGTAAATGTGATTTGATATCCAACTGAGCCGTATGATCATCAGTTTTTTGTTCTTCAGCTAATTCTGATGTTGATTGAAGTGTTGGCATAGGTATTAATGAAGTTTGTTGAGATAATAAATCAATTTTTGATTGTTGACAAACAGAATGAGAATTACTATGTGTGCGGGAAGGAGAGCAATATAATAAATCAGAAATACGATATTCTTGTAAATTCAAATGTGAACGAGTGTGTTTGTTCATCAAGAACACATTCCCAAAAGCAGGGCAGTTCTCTTAAGTAACTAAACATTCATTGACAGAGACAATCCTTAAGAAAGGATGTTTCCAAAATTATTTCAAATAGATGGAAAATCACGGGACCAATTTCTTAATAATAAGAAAGACACCGCTGTCACCACTTGTTATGTTACGTTTTGCACTTGGAGTTCGATTCAACAATAAGTTACCTTTCTATATTTATTAAGAAATAAACAATGGCTGTCGTACAATAGTTGTGCACGCACATATATAATATCAAAGAGAAGAAGAGAAGAAGAGAAGAAAGACCACAAACAAAAGTAACATGAAAGAAAAGAAAAACATAGGGAAAGATGTCGTTCCTAACAATAGGCCTTGACACCTTATGGCTATCATCGTAGGATAGCCCTGGAGCACCTATAGGTAGCCTCATAGGACAGCCATTGAGGACCTATGGGTACCGCCACAGGATAGCACTTGGGGACCTATGGGTACCCCCATCGAACAGCCTTTGGCGACCTAAAGTTACCCACCAGAACAGCCCTTGACAAGTAACGGGTATCATCGTAGCATAGCCCTGGAGGACCTATGGGCACCCTCATAGGATAGCTCTTGAGAACCTATAGGTATCTCCATAGGATCGCCCTTGGGAACCTATGGGCACCCCCATAGAATAGCCCTGGAGGATTCATAGGTACCCCATAGATTAGCCCTTGGGAACCTCTTGGTCGCCCATCGGATAGCCCTTGAGAACTTATGAGTATCATCGTAGGATAGCCCTTGGAGGACCTATGGGTAACCTCATACGATAGCTCTTGGAGACCTATGGCTGCACCCATAGAATAGCCCTTCGCCACCTATAGGTACCCCTGAGCATAGTCCTTCACAACTTACGAGTATCAGAGTAGGATAGCCATGCAGCACGTAGCGGCACCCTCATAGGATAGTCCTTGTGGACCTATTGATAGCCCATTGAATAGGCCTGCCGAACCTATGGGTACCCCCACGACGCGGCGTTGCTCGCCTATGGGTCCCCCGTCGAATTGCCCTTGGGACCTGTAGCACCGTCGTAGGATAGGCCTTGAGAACTTATGCACATCCCCGTACGAGAGCCCTGCAGCACCTACGAGCATCATCGTAGAATAGCTCTGGCGCACCTATAGGTGGCCTCATACGATAGCCCTTGAGAACCTATGGCTATCCACGTAGAATACCCCTTGGCGACCTATGAGTACCACACCGGATAGCCCTCAAGAACTTATGGGTATCATCATAGGATAGCACTGGACGACACATGGGAAACCTCGTAGGATAACCCTTGAGGACCTATAGGTACCCTCACACGATAGCCCTTGGGAGCTATGGGTACGTCTATAGAATAGCCCATGGCGACCTATAGATACCCCATAGGATAGCCCTTAAGAACGAATGGGTATAATCGTAGGATAGCCCTGGAGGATCTATAGGTACCCTCATATGACAGCCCTTGAGGACCAATAGGTCCCCAGTAGCATAGCCCTCGTGCACGTATGGGTACCCGCATACATTGGCCTCTTGGCGGCCTATAGGTACCCCACAAGATATCCCTTGAGGACTTATAGGTATCATCGTAGGATAGGCGTGGAGGACCGATAGCTACCCTCATAGCATAGCCCTTGACGACCGATAGGTACCCCCATAGGATACTCGATGGGGGCCTATCGGGACCCCATAGAATAGCTCATGGCGACCTATTGATACCGCATATGATAGCCCTTTAGAACTTATCGGTATCATCGCAGGATGGCCCTGGAGCACCTATAGGTGCCCTCATAGGATACCCCTTGAGGAGCTGTAGGTAGCCCCCATAGAATAGCACTGCAGAACCTATGTGTATCCCCTTATGATAGGCGTTGGTGGTCTATGGGGAACTCCATTGAATAGCCCTTGGGGACATGTAGGCCCCTCGTAGGGTAGCCCTTGAGAATTTATGCCTATCCCCGTAGGATAGCCCAGGAGTAGCTATGGGTACCTTCGTAGGATAGCCCTTGGAAGCCTACAGATACTCCCCGTAGAATAGCCCTTGGCAACCTATTGGTCCGTCATATGATAGGCGTTGGTGGGTTATACGTACCTCCATGGAATTGCCCTTGGGGACCTATAGGATCCTCGTAAGATAGGCCTTGAAAACTTATACGTATCCCCGTTGGACAGGCCTGGAGGATCTATGGGCACCCTCGTAGAATAGCCCTTGAGGACCTGTAGATACCACCATAGGATACGCTGCAAAACCTATGTGTACCCCGGTATGATAGGCGTTGGTGGCCTATGGGTACCCCGATCGAATAGCTCTTGGGGACCTGTAGGTCCCTCGTAGGACAGCCCTTGAGAACTTATATGTATCCGCGTTGGATAGCCCTGCAGGACCTATGGGTATCATCGCAGGATAGCCCTGGAGCACCTATAGGTAGCGTGAACGGAGAGCCCTTGAGGACCGATAGGTACCGCCAAAGGATAGCCCTTGGGGATCTATGGGTATCCCCATAGAGCAGCCCTTGGCGACCTATAGGTACCCCCATAGGATAGCCCTTGGGGACGTCTGGGTACCTCCATAGAATAGCCCCGCAGGTCGTATGCTTATCCGCATGGGTTGTCCCTGAAGGATCTATGGGTACTCCCATAGGATATGTGTTGGGACCTATCGATACCCCCATAGATTAGCCCTTGGGGACCTATTGGTAGCCCATCGGATAGCCGTTGGGGCTTATGGGTATCATCGTCGAATAGCTCTGGAGGATTATGGGTACCCTCGTAGTATAGCCCTTGAGGACCTGTAGGTACCCCCAGCGGATAGTCTTTGGGGACCTATGAGTAGCCCCATAGTATAGCGCTGGAGGACCTATGGGTACCTTCATCGGATAGCGCTTCAGGACCTATAGGTACCCCCATAGGATAGCTCTTGAGAACTTATGGGTATCCTCGTAGTATAGCCCTGGGGGACCTATGGGTACTCTCATAGGATAGCCCTTCAGGACCGATAGGTGCCCGCATAGGATAGCCCTTGGGGAGCTATGAGTAGCCTCATAGATTAGCTGTGGAGGGCCCATGCTTACCCCCATAGGATAGCCATGAAGGGCGTATGGGTTCCCCGATAGGATAGTCCTGGATGACCTATGGGTACTCCCATAGGCTAGGCCTTGGCGACGTGTAGGTACCCTCATAGAATCGCCCTGGAGCACCTATAGGTACTGCCATAATGTTGCGCTTGAGAACTTTTGGGTCCCCGCGTAGGATAGGGATGGAGCACCTTTGGGTACCGTCTTAAGATAGCCCTCGAGGTCCTATAGGTGCCGCCATCGGATAGCCCTTGTGGATCTGTAAGTAGCCCATTAAAGATCCCCAGGAGATCTCTGCCTTCGAGTCTTATTTCAACTTTGACCCTTGACGTTTGACCCGGCACAGACGAACACGCACACCCAGCCACATTATATGTATAGTTTGGTCTTTGCAGATTGGAATATCCAGGTCGAACGATCCCAGTCGGATCTCGCCAGTTCGGAATATTTTCGATATGATTCGGTCCTAGATTTGTGGGGTTCCCATGAGCCGGATTCTGGTCCGGGTTTCTTCAGAATTCGACGGAAGCTGATAAAATCCGACCTGATCCGGCCCGAATTTCATCGTGTTCCGCCGAATTCCGATGAAATCCGGATCGGAATCCGGCTGATGGGAATGCGACAAAAACCTTGTCAGATTCGATTGGTTTTTCATGAAAGATGTCGGATTCCGCTGAAATCCGAGGCAGATTCGATTGAATCTACAGGTCGGATTTAATCTCCTGAGAACTGCTAAAGATTTCATAATAGGTTTCCAAATCGATTTCAGTTTTCGGGGAAACGATTTTTTTTAGGAAGTACTTTGTGTTATTATTCATTGTAATTGAGATCTAGTTTGAGCATACGTATGGAAGTAAAATTTCAATCTTAAGATGCTGTAAAGCTCTAGAAATTCCTGGATTCGACACTAATAAATTGCCGTATTGTTTACAATTTAGTATCGATATGTCTCTTTTTCGACGCGCTTTAATTTGATGCAAAAATGTTTATGAATACTTTTTGAAATCATAGAATTATCTCGCTGTAAAAATATTTTTACGTACCCTATACGATGAAATCTCTTCCTTAAAACAATCGTGTTCCGTTAGTTATCATTAATGTAACCATTGAACAAAATGCAATGAAATCTCTTATTGCTAGTTATTGTCCAATTTAAAATGATCTGAGTCACCGCAAATTATACTGAAATGAATTTCTTTGCATATGTATGTTTGTTTTTGGCTTGTTTGTCATTACTCGTCGCCCATTCGTCCTGTGAATATTCTATTGTTGCTATGCGAAGTCCTTTTCAAGAGTATGCATATTTGAAGAGAATTTTAAAAAGACGAAAAAGAAAGAGGCAAAACATACAGAACGAAACAAAAAAAGTTGTCATGCTGCAAAAGTAAAACTCGAGCCATTTGAAAAAGAAAACAGGCAAACAGTGTACGACGCAAAATATTTTCAACGAGCAACAAACGTATCAATTGCAATTTTTTGGTTGTGGTGAGTTAATT